CCCCCCCCCCCCCCCAAATTCAAAACTTCAAGGTCCGCCTCTGTATTCCATGTTTGTCAAGAGACAAATTTTTCAAGAGAAGACATGAAAGAGCACGTAAGGACGTGGAACGTGCTTTCGGAATTCTGAAAACAAAATGACACATAGTTGAACATGCGACACGACCATATGAGTTGGACAATCTACGAGATATTATGTATGTATGTATCATAATGCATAACATGATCATTGAAGATAAATGACGAAACATTGCGGAGTATTCGCCTACGAAACTTAGGCACATTCAATTTCAACCAGGGACAACATAATACTTACATAGATTCGTTGACATTCAAGACCAACAAAAACACAAGCAACTTCGAGAATGCTTGGCAGATCATATCTATGATGGTACTGAAGATGAATACTTTAGGTCAAAAATGTATTTTTTCTCGTTTATTATTATTATTATTATTATTATTATTATTATTATTATTATTAAGTTTTAGATGTTTTTATCCTCTGTTGTAATCTTTTTATGTTGTTTTTAATTTAGGATTTATTAAAATTTTACTTTTACTTTTTAAATGTTATTTTTAATTTATGATTTAATTTATATGATAATTATAAATATTATGACATAAAAAAAAACAAATTGGAAATATAAAAACTAAAAACATACACAAAAAAATAATAAATAAAAAAATAAAAAAAATAGAAAACAAGGAGTGTTATTACATGTTATTTGGTGTTGCTCATTTCCACATTGGGTGTTATAACACCAATGTATGACTAGGATGATGACGTGACACCTTTTGGATGTGGTAACATGCAATAACATGTTGCCCACACCCATCATCATAAGTCTACTCGGAGTGGGCAACGGAGAGGGGCGTTATGCCCATGTGGCATCCAAAAACGGCGCCATAACGGGAGGAACACCACCCCCTAGCCGTTATTTGGTGTTATGTTACCGGGTGTTATCGTGAACAAGAGAGGAAACGTGAAAAGTTGCTTCGATTTTTATTCAAACGGTCACAATTTCGATCGTTTAAAAACGGTCACCGGCGGAATTTTTTTTATATACACTATAAATACATATAATTTATATCAAATTTACCTACAAAATACATCAATTTCTCTCACAATTACATATTTCTTTCAATAATTCAAAACCAAAATATGGATCGTTTTGATCCGGCCCATCCGTACAACGATGATAACGACGAAGACGATATCTTCGTGAGTATGATGTACCGATATTATACAGACATGCTACTACAGCAAGATCCAACTCCACTACTCACACGACGTGCGACGTTAAATAGAGATCGTGAGGAAGAGCATAGACGGCTAGTTAACGATTACTTTACGGATAATTGTGTCTACCAGGCAAGCGATTTCAAAAGAAGGCTTCGTTTGCGAAAAAAATGTGTTTGAAATGATAGCCCACGCCATGGAAGCAAGGTATCGTTTGTTTCAAGTTTTCTAATTTATAAATGTCACTTTTAGATAAAATAAATACAATTTTTACATGTTAAATATATATTTAGGTATGGATTTTTCCAATTGAGATATGATGCTAGAGGTAAACGAGGCTTCACAAGGTTGCAGAAATGTGTTGCTGCAATTAAACTTATGGCAATGGGGGAGTCGCCCGATTCTGTTGATGATTATATGAGAATGTCTGAGAGGACCGCACGATAAAGTTTGTATTATTGGCAAGAAGTGTTGTTAAACCTTCGGTGACGAATACTTGCGCAAACATTCGTTGCATGATATGCAACAACTATATGCAGCGCATGAAGAAAGACATGGTTTTCCGAAAATGCTTGGGAGCATTGATTGCACACACCGGAACCGAAGAAATTGCCCCGTGGCGTGGAAATGCCAGTATTTGAGCGGTCATCATGGAACGCCTTCATTGGTATTAGAGGCTGTTGCTTCACAAGATTTATGGATTTGGCATGCTTATTTCGGGGTTGCGGGTTCCAACAACGACGTCAACGTTCTCGATCAATCACCAATATTTGACGATCTTTTGTCAGGAAAAGTTTGGGTATTACCTTACAGATGGAATATATCCACCATATTCCACGTTTGTGAAGGCGTTTAGACAAATATTTCAAGAGACGACAAGAAGGAGCACGTAAGGACGTTGAACGTGCTTTTGTGGTTTTGAAATCAAAATGGCACATAGTTGAACATGTGGCGAGACCTTATGAGTTAGATACTCTACGAGATATCATGTATGCATGTATCATACTGCATAACATGGTTGTCGAAGATAAAGGACGCAATATTGCAACGTATTCGCCTACGGAACCTAGACATGTGCAATTTCAACCAGGGACATCAAAATATTTACATAGAGTGGTTGATATTTAAGACCAACAAAAACACAAGCAACTCCGTGAAGACTTGGCATATTACATCTATGTTGGTCACGAAGATGAATAGTTTAGGTCAAAAAATGTAGGTTTTATCATCATTTTTCTGTTTTTTAGGTTTTTCATTGTTTTTGTCTTTTGTTGTAATTTTTTTAATGTTGTTTTTAATTTAAGATTTATTAAAATTTTATTTTTACTTTTCAAATGTTATTTTTAATTTATGATTTAATTTATATGATAAATATAATTATTATGATATAAATAAAAAAACAAATTCGAAATATAGAAAAGAAAAACATCAAAAAAAAATTAAAAAAATAAAAAAAATAAATGATGTTATCACATGTTATTAGATGTTGCACATTTCTACCTTGAGTGTTATAACACCCATGTATGAGTAGGATGCTGACGTGACACCTTTTGGGTGTGGTAACATATAATAACATGTTGCCCACACCCAACAGTCTAACAAGACAAATGCAAAGTATTTGTGTTGTCAAATGATTTTGTGGAAAAATTGGTGAAAAAATGTTTCCCATGTGATGACAAATGATGTTACAAGTTATAAGGTTTTTGGTGAG